TCTAGAGTGGAAACATGTCTCTTGTTTGGATGAGTGAAAAGAAATAAATAGTCTCCACCACCATCGCTGTAGTCCATCACCCCAACCCCCTACCACCATTGTTGTTGTCGCCAATGCTGCTGTCAAAACCATTGTTACAGTCATCACTATCGCTGTTACCACTGCTATTACTGCCACTACCACCATTATTATTGCCACTATCATTACTGCATTAAGATGATAAGAATTCTTCAAGATAACTAGTATTATTAAGGGTACTATAATAAATTTAATATTATTTTGTTTGTGTTGTCTACTCGTCCACCAAACAATGTACAGGATAGAGAATTGTCCAGTAATGTAAGTGTTTTTCATGTGTTTTTTCTACTTTTCTTTGTATTGTACCCTAGTATGTGTTGTCTTTCTTATACAATTGGGCTTATCTGTGTTCCTCCTTGGAATTAGTATGACCAAGGAGGTCAATCATTACTTGAAATTTACAAATGTGGGAGAAAATTATGACATGCAAGTATGCAACTATATTAGTAGGGACTCTAGAGTTTTAATTTGAGACTTCTAGTTTCTGAAGTGTTGGTAAAAGGTATTTCTGCCACCACATTAAAGGAGCTTATCTGTATTCTATTGTATTTCTTAGTTTCTCCATGCAGCATGCTAGTTTTACTGCCCCTTTTTACCCTTCCTGGTAGCTAAGTTGCTGTGTTTGGTAAGTCCATTAATTTTTATAATGTAGCTGTTTCCCATTCATAAAAGAAAAAGAAAAGGTGGAAGAGGTAGTTAAATGAAAGGTTAATATGATTAGCTTGCTTCCTTTGGCATCTCAAACTTGTTTGAATGTTCTTGGCATCAACTAAAAAGTTGTCTCAAACACGACAATTGTTTGATCCTTTCTTGGTGGTGCCCCATCTATGCTTGATTTTATTAGTCAGTCTCTCTTATGATTTTGATCATCCTGCTTTTTCATTTCAGTTGAACAAGTCTGTGAGTGGACCAAGAAGTGCAGGTGTGATTGGTGAACGAGGATCAAGAGAAAGTGAGTAAAACAACTGTAAAGAATTCACCAATTTGCTCTTTCTTTTGTCAAAACAAAATAATATACCTTTTGCTTTTATCTTTCTTAATTAATTTATTTAATATTTCTAGTAATATATTTATCCATTATATTCTGATGCCATCTTATGCTTAATGGCTTTTCTTAAAGTGTAAATGTAAGCTATAAACTAGCTGTTTGGATATCCAATGTCAGATTTATACTCAGTTTGAAACTTTTAATCTGAATTATGCTCCCCTTTTTATGGGTTTGTAATGGCCAGAAAACACGGGGCTTTGTTTATGCGTAACTATGATCCATGAGTTGTGGGAAAGCTATGATTCAATAAATCAAATTCTTCTGTTTTTAATAATTATTATGATGTTTATTGATTTATTTGATTTATTTTATATATATATTTTATTATAAGTTGATCCTCATTTGCTGAGAAAAAAATTTGGGACATCTAAGCAATCTTATTTATAGTTTTTTTTTTTTGTGAGAATTGCATTGTCAATCCTCAATACTAGCATTATACTGAATGTGGTTATATGTTGCTTCTAAAGAGTGATTTAGTATGCCATATGCATTCATACAAAGTTACAAACACCCACAATTTATATTTTTTTTCCCATGGACAAATATAGCAAATTACCTTCAGTGGACAATCAGAATGCAACATTTAGATGTATTGAATCACAAATACAGGCATATATATCCAACTTGTGATGGCATGTGTAAAAGTATTCTATACTAATGGATAAGGTAAGGGGGGTTTCTGCAAGTTTATCCTTAACATGATGGTTTTTAAGTAGAAAATTTTCTGACTAAGGGAAGGGTCTGACAAAAGTGATGGTATTGGTAACTTAATATGTTGTAACTTTACTGTGCTTCCTTGCTTTAAGTAGTAATCACACAAATAATTGAGGAAGGGAATATAGTTGTAAGCTATATATGATATTTCATTAGAGGGATTGCCTCTTGTATCATGATTTTTTTAGGTCTGGTCTTGTGTGTGTAAAATCCACTTTAGAATATTTATCCTTAAAATGGGGTTATGCGTGTCTTGTATTCCAATTGACTGTATTCCTTGGCTATCAGCACCTCTATTCTTCCCTTTTCATTATATGCAACATTTTTTCAGTTGACTGATTGGTTGATATTTTATGTTGTATCCAGATTCTATTTCTGAATGGTCACACAGGGAAGATAGTCTTAACTGGTTTGATCAGAATGCTTATGATAGTGAAGGTTCTATGGATGGCAAAAGATGGTCATCACAGCCCCATTCTTCCCTAGCTCATTTACATGATTCAAAGCCCTTGTACAGAACATCCTCATACCCCGAGCAGCAAAGGCAGGAGCAACACTACCACCTCCAACATTGCTCTAGTGAACCAGTTCCTAACTGGCTTGATCAGCAATTTTATGAAACAGAAACTGCTCATGATCAAGATGGCAAACGATGGTCATCACAGCCACATTCCTCCATTGCACATTTACAAGAGTCAAAACCCTTGTACAGAACATCTTCATATCCTGACAAACAACAGGAGCTTACTCGTTTTTCTAGTGAACCAATTTTGGTACCAAAATCTTCATTTACTTCTTATCCTCCCCCTGGTGGTCTATCTCAGCTGGGTTCCCCAAGTCATAGTACAGGGCACTTAAACATGCCTTATCATACTGGAGCAACTCAGATAGCACTATCATCTCAAAATCGTTCTCATTTCTCCAATTCTGCACTACAGTCAAGTGCATTAAACCTTGGGTCACATTTTGGTGGTAACACTCGGCAATTTCCTACCAGTTCCTCACTTAATCAGCGACTAAAGAATCAATTGGTGAACCAGGCAGGGTTGTATCCTGGAGATCATTCAAATCTCCTTAGTAATATGTTGCAGCAACAATTACACCTTCATAATGGATCAGTATCTCCTCATTTGATGACTCAATTGCAACAACAGCAGCATAGACTGCATCATCCTGTTCAGCGATCTGCAGGCTACTTATCAGGCTTCCAGTCCCATTTATTTAATCCCCACCTTTCCTCTGGCTCATCTGTAATGAGCAAATATGAACATGTGCTTGGCCATGCTGATGGTAGAGATCATAGACCAAAATCAACTCATAAAGGTAAACATAGTCTTCGTTTTTCCCAACATGGTTCTGATGCCAGTAGCCAGAAGAGTGACAGTGGTTCATTTCAGTTTCGGTCCAAGTATATGACAAGTGATGAAATTGAGAGCATTCTTAGAATGCAACTTGCTGTGACTCATAGTAATGATCCTTATGTAGACGACTATTACCACCAAGCTTGCCTAGCAAAAAAACCTTCTGCGGCTAAGTTAAAACATCCATTTTGCCCAACCCAAATAAGGGATCTTCCTTCACGAACCCGTTCTAATTCTGAGCCACTTGCATTTCTTCAGGTTGATGCTCTAGGGAGGGTTTCATTTTCGTCTATTCGTTGTCCTCGCCCTCTTCTTGAGGTGGATCCTCCAAACACCTCTGTTGGCTCTGATCAAAAGATTTCAGAGAAGCCCCTTGAACAGGAACCTAGGTTTGCTGCCAGAGTCACAATTGAGGATGGTCTTTGTCTTCTTCTTGATGTTGAAGATATTGATCGTTACCTACAGTTTAATCAGCCACAAGATGGGGGATCACAATTACGACGAAGAAGGCAGGTCCTGTTGGAAGGACTAGCAACTTCACTTCAACTTGTTGACCCACTGGGAAAGAATGGACACAAAGTTGGGCTTGCTGCTAAGGATGATCTGGTTTTCTTACGATTGGTATCTCTTCCCAAGGGACGTAAGCTCCTTGCAAAGTATCTTCAGTTGCTTCTCTCTGGTAGCGAGCTTATGAGGATAGTCTGCATGACAGTCTTTCGCCATTTAAGATTCTTATTTGGTGGTCTCCCCTCAGATCCGGCAGCTTCAGAGACTACAAATAACCTTGCCAAGGTGGTTTGCAAATGTGTCAGAGGAATGGATCTAGGTGCTCTCAGTGCTTGTCTTGCAGCAGTTGTTTGTTCTGCAGAGCAGCCTCCTCTACGACCCATTGGAAGCACTTCTGGAGATGGTGCTTCCCTTATTTTAATATCCGTTCTTGAGAGGGCCACTGAACTTCTAACTGATCCACATGCTTCTTGCAACTACAACATTAGTAATCGTTCATTTTGGCAGGCTTCATTTGATGAATTCTTTGGCCTTCTCACCAAGTATTGCATGAACAAATATCATAGTATCATGCAATCCATGCTTATACAAAGTACCTCGAATGTGGATGATGTGGGACCAGATGCTGCCAAAGCTATCAGTAGAGAAATGCCTGTTGAACTCTTGCGCGCCAGCCTCCCTCACACTGACGACCGCCAGAGGAAGTTATTACTGGATTTCGCACAGCGCTCCGTGCCTGTGGTTGGGTTTAACAGCAACACGGGGGGTAATGGTGGTCATGTGAACTCAGAAACAGTGCTAAGTTGATTGATAACTAAACTATGAGATGTTTGCCTGCTGATAATGGTTTTCAGGTTGATGACCGTAAGCACAACCTTGCAATCATCTGTTTCTTCTGTTCAAGTGCAGCTGGAGCAATCTTAAATGTGGAAAGTGAGAGTTGCATCTATGATGGAGGCTTCTGCCTCACCCTTAATTGTCATGATGTGTAGCTTTGTGATAAATTTGCTATGCAATCAGGCCCTTTGATGATGGACTCGGCTTGATTCGTTCCTCTTGTCTTTTCTTTTTCTCTTGACAGGGGAGCTTATATAATTGTTACTATGTGTGGCTGGTAGGGACACAGTAGTTAGCATGTACAGGTTTAGGTACATATTTGGATCCCATGTTTGCTTATTATATATACAAGGGTGGGTTGTACTCACAGAACCATTCTACTGAAAAACGGTATGGGCCATTGAGGGGAGGGTGACCAGCTGGCATGCTGAAATTCCAAGCAACACTGGTGAAGAATAAGTCATGTTGAACTTGCTGCATAATTTATCTTTTCACTTGAGTTGTCAATTTGTAGATATGTGTTCTTATGTATTCCCTAACTTGAAAAATATTTAGTTTTCTTTTCTTTATTGTTTCTCTTTGACTTTGGCATTATTTTCTTTAAGGTTCATTGCCCATTTACTCCTTTTTTCTATTTTTTTTTTTGTTGAGGAGGGGGGGGGGGGGTG